ATCTATGCTCTTATCATAGTTGGTGGGTGATTGAAACCATTGCTTTCTTTTTCTGTATATGATGGAGTGAATGGGAGTCCTAGTGTGATTATCACTCGTATTCTTTCTCGGAATATTCAAGTCATTTGTTGTTTCGTGGTTTTGTGTGATTATTTGTTGGTTTACTGCTAAGAGAGAAATCGATGGAGGAATGAGGGTTTATCTGTGTGTTTTGATCATTCAGCTAAAAGATAGTTCTGTGTTTTTTGTTTTGTTTTTATCAATTGGAAGTCGGGCTTTTCTTTTAAATGAAGAAGCTGAAACTTTGGGTTCAATGCAGGTCTGTAATAGGCTCCTTCTTCAATGGCAGTGGCAGATGCAGAAAATCCTCTTACAGGAGAAACCACTTGTGGGTCTCTACTACAGCAGTTACAGGTAATTAAAGTGGAATGAGAAAATCGTGTTTCGAACATCTTAGCATTATGTTGATTGTCATTTTTTGATTGGGTGTAGCGAATATGGGATGAAGTTGGTGAAAGTGATGAGGATAGGGACAAGATGCTTCTTCAGATAGAACAGGAATGCCTAGATGTTTACAAAAGGAAAGTTGACCTGGCCGTTAAATCAAGGGCTCAGCTTCTCCAGACCTTGGCCGATGCTAATGTTGAACTTTCTACCCTCTTTTCTGCTCTTGGAGACAAAACTGCTGTTGGAATGGTTTGATTCTACTATAATTCAATTTATTTATTTAATTTTTTAAGGAGAAACAAGCCAATATCTTGTTTGTGTCTGATCTGCATGTAGAATTATAAGTGTTGATTATAATCAGTCTACACATTACTTTTGGGCAGCCTGAGAAAACATCTGGAACAATTAAGGAACAACTTGCAGCAGTTGCACCAACATTGGAGAAGCTGTGTAAACAAAAAGAGTATAGGTTGAGAGAGTTCTCTGATGTACTGAGACAGATTCAGGAAATTAGTGGAGAAATTGCTGGGAAGTTGAACCTGAATGATGCACCAGTAGTTGATGAATCGGATTTATCCCTATCGAAGTTAGAGGAATATTATGCTCAACTTCAAGACCTTCAAAAAGAAAAGGTATAATTTAACCTTAAATGTTACATGGTGATACTATGTCCTATTTGATAGGAGTTACACTCATAAATTTTGTTGATGTGACAGAGTGAAAGGCTGCACAAGGTCTTGGAATTTGTGAGCACTGTACATGATCTTTGTTCTGTCCTTGGTATGGACTTCTACAGCACCGTGACTGAAGTGCACCCAAGCTTGAATGACTCTAATGGTGTGCAGTCAAAAAGCATTAGTGATGAAACACTGTCTAAGCTTGCTGAGACAGTTGTTGCTCTAGAAGAGGACAAAAAACAGAGGCTTCAAAAGGTAAACCATCGATCAAACTACTCAACATCATTTAGACCTGTTTAAAGTTGATGTAATCTCTTAAAGTTCCGACCCCACTCAATGTGTAAAAAATTTTGAGCTCAAAGTTCCAATAATAACCCTGAAAGGCTGAAACAACCCAGAAAAAGAGGGAAAAATAGAGTTTACTACCCAAAGTGACTTGACCTGAACCAAACCAAACTGACCAAATAGTGCCACACCTGTGATTCTCAAGTTGTCATTATAAATTTTATGTTCATGTTTCATCATAAGCTGCTGCTATGAGGGGATGTGAGGCTAGAATTTGATGTTGCCATTCATGTAAGACTAACATGAGGCTAACAGAGTGTCTCTATGTGCAGCTTCAAGAGTTAGCTAATCAATTAACTGATCTTTGGAATCTAATGGACACACCTGAAGAAGAGCGACAATTGTTTGACCATGTTACATGTAACATATCAGCCTCAGTGGATGAAGTGACCATTCCAGGTGCTCTTGCTCTGGACCTGATTGAGCAGGTACTGTAATTGTATTTTATGTATGCTGCTCTTACAAAAAATGATGCTTGGTACTGACAATAGTGTTTTTATTGTGCTTGGACTTTTTGTGGTTAGGCTGAGGTTGAGGTAGAGAGGCTTGATCATCTAAAGTTTAGTCGGATGAAGGAAATTGCCTTCAAGAAGCAGGGTGAACTTGAGGAGATATATGCCCGTGCACATATAGAAATTGACACAGAAGCTGCTCGGGAAAAGATTTTGGCAATTATTGATGCTGGGAATGTTGAGCCCTCAGATTTGATTGCTGACATGGATAGTCAGATCTTGAAGGCCAAAGAAGAGGCTCTTAGTAGAAAAGAGATACTGGACAGGGTTGAAAAATGGATGTCAGCTTGTGAAGAAGAGAGTTGGCTTGAAGACTACAACCGGGTATGGCTCTATTCTAATTTGTTTTGTATTTCCAGGATTTATTTTCTTTTTGAGTGTCTTGTTGCTTCTTTCTTTTCTATTATCTCTTCCAGAGGTTGGAAATGTTTGGTATGGATTTTACTTTACAATGGGCATTGTTAGTTTATGCTATATAACCATGATGAAGGTTTTATGGTTTTTTTTTTTTTTTTTTTCCCCATCATCAGTGCATGCACATGCATTGACCTCTGACTCTGAACTTTCATTTTTACAGGATGACAACAGATATAATGCTAGCAGGGGTGCTCACTTAAATCTTAAGCGGGCAGAGAAAGCCAGAATTTTGGTGAACAAAATCCCAGGTTTGTATGATATTTGATGAAATACGAAGCTGCATTTAGTCTCTGCCAGCGATTCTTCACAAAATGGAGACTGCTTATAAGTTATAACTTTAATATGTGAAGTAACCTACTTTTGTGACCTTGCAGTGATGGTTGAGACTCTTGTTGCCAAAACTCGCACATGGGAAGATGACCGGGGCTTGACATTCACTTATGATGGAGTTCCCCTGCTTGCTATGCTGGATGAATATGCCATGCTCAGGCACGAAAGAGAGGAGGAGAAACGGAGGTTGAGGGTAAGTAACTTACTATAACAGCTCAAAGCAAAACTCCTGGCTGCATAGCCTGGTCATGTTATTTCTTTTCACCCCTTGTCTACATAGGCTGGATTTTAAGCATAGTGGTGGGAAATTTTACTTTTCTAAAGTCAAACAACTTAGTGAGAAAGAGCACCACATGCTTGGATTCTTTTTAACCAAAGGTCTCTGGTTAGAGCCTTGGGAATGCATCTGCATTGGTCCAGACTCTGGAGTGCATTCTTCTTGTTTGGAGCCTAACCTTGCTAAAATCCAGATTAGTAGTATATAAAATTATTAGATACTGGACTATTTACCTAAAAGAGGCATGCTAATTCCCTAAACTCTGTTGTCCCTTGGAAAGAGGAGGGGTATGGATGTCTTTCCGTTTTTGCCCCTGGTAGCATGGCTCCTTAAAAGGCATGTACTGCTCTGGAGTCTGGACTCTTGTATACAACCACGATTAAGGGTCTGAGGCTTTGAGCCTATACCATCCCCTTCCCTTTCATTGTTGTTCTCACTTGATTATGTATGGAGTTGATTTGAAATGACTATGTTGGTACCTGTCCTCAATGGTAGATGAACTGGATATCGCTTTTTTTTTTCTCTTTTTTTTGGTAGCTGTGATGCTAACTTCTGTGTGTTGACCCTGCAGGACCAAAAGAAATACGTTGACCAGGTAAGCACAGATCAGGAAACTGCTTTCACTTCAAGACCTAGCCCTGCTAGACCTGGGAGTGCAAATAAGAAAGGACCACGTGCAAATGGAGGCCCCAACGGGACTCCTAATCGTCGACTCTCTCTAAACAGTCATCAAAACGGAACTCGGTCATCGAAAGAGGGTAAGATCAGGCCAGCAGCTCCAGTAAACTATGTATCCGTATCGAAAGATGATGCTTCGTCCCACATCTCTGCCTCAGACTCCATTCCTGTTACACCTTAATAGTCGAAACTAGAAGAGATAATCTGTAGGTTTGTTGTCATAGTGTAGTTTTAGTTTGCTGTCGTAGGATGATAAATGTGAACAATAAGGTGTAATGAGAGTATTTAGTATATACTGGGAACTGTCTATGTGTGTTATATTGACATCAAGAAGCTTACTAATTCATGCTGTACTATTTCCCATTTTCCCATGTTAGTTGGTTTCAAAACCTCTGGGATAACCAAGTCCCACGCCTTCGAAAATTTATGTTCACAGAGCATCAGTAACAGGGAAATTGTTCTCACTTCAACTGTATAAGCTATATCTTTTACTCCGAATTACGCTTACAAACAAGGGTCATTACTCATTAGCAAGGTTGGTTGAGTGCCAAAATTTTGCCTTTGCCTGTTTTCGCCTCAGTCTGAGAGTTAACTTAAACTCACAAATTCATATTCAAGGTCCTCTCGAGTCTTGACTTGATAACTTGCAATCTTCAAATGAAATCAATATCAGATATAGGTTTTATTTTTATTGTTTATTTTTTAAATTTCCTCATGGGCAAATGGGCTGTTCGAAATGCTCGTCTCGTATGAGTATGTATGAGTAGCTCGTTAGTTGTCTCGTCTTATGAGCTAGTATCTTGAGCACCAATGAACCCGCGAAGTTCTTGCTAGTCGTGACTAGTCTGCTACCCTATCTTCAACACGTTAAAACTCTCGTCGCATAGAACTGTAATTCATTTCTTCTCTCTCTTCCTTTAATTAATCACGAATCATTTCCTTAAATCATCAATTATTTTTTTTTCTTGGTAAATTTGATTGTAGGTCGATTTCATGCAATTGAACGAAGGTTGAAAATTCCTCCTCATTTCTTTCATGAAGCAGCTTGAAAAGGTTCTGATTTATCTCAATCTCAGTTATAAATTAAATTTTTTGGTTCTTCATGAGCATTTATTTGCAATTTGAGTGTTTTTGTGAAATAATTCAATATGTTTGATCATGTTGCTGGATTTTATGAGAGTTAGATCATGACTGTATGAATGCCAGTGAGAACATAAGATTTACAAAACCGAATCGATTCAAAAAGTGTCATAATTTCAATTCTGGTTAGTAATAAGTCCTTATCACACTATACTGTAATTATAATTAATTCTTTGGCATATTATTGAATTACACCACATTTGACTAGATCAATTGATAGAGACAGATGCAAATTCGTGGGAACTTAACATTTGCTGTTCAATACATACATTATATACGTGTGAGGTTAATTTCTTACGAGACTAATCCATTCGAGCCGAGCTTGTTGTTAGCCTTTTGTTCAGCTCTAACCCAACCTAAAACTAGATCAATCACTTCTGAACTTAGCATTAGATTTAAGAGATTCAGGTAATCTTTTGACATAGAAATGGACATTGGAACAGTGCTATCTGTTGCTCAGACTGTGTTTGCGGCGCTGCAATGTCCGGAGCTCAAAAAGATGTGCTCAATTCTTGGCTACAAAACCCAACTTGGTGACCTTCAAGTCACTGTCTCCGCCATCAACACTGTGCTCCGCAAGGCAGAGGCCAAGCGCGAGCTTAATGATGAAGAACAGCTTTATGTTGAGGACCTCAAGGATGCAATCTATGAAGCAGATGATCTGTTGGATGAGTTTGTTACACTGGTTGAGCAGAGGAAACTCACAGAGAGTGACAAGCTGGCGCATTTCTTTTCTCTTTTTAACGAGTTAGGTGTTGCTTACAAGATGTCTAGAGGGGTTGAGAAGATTAGGCGGAAGTTGGATGCTATTGCTTACAACAATCAGTTTAGATTTAAGCTTGATCCTGAGCCTACCAGGAAGAGGAGGCCCGAGAGCGATTCTTGTGTGAATGCAGTGGATATTATTGGAAGAGAGGATGACTTGGAGAAAATCATTGGTGTGCTGCTTGATTCTAATGTTCAGCAAGATGTGTCTTTCATTACTATTGTGGGTATTGGAGGGTTAGGCAAAACTGCCCTTGCTCAACTTGTCTACAACGATCCAAGGGTCAAGAGCGCATTTTCGTTGAGGTTGTGGACTTGTGTCTCTGATCAAGATAGAAAAGAATTGGACTTAGAAGATATTCTTGGTAATATTCTGGCTTCAGTTACTGGCCAGAAGCATGAGGGGTCAACCATGGATTGGGTGCAAGGACAGCTTCGAAAAACACTAGCAGATCATAAATATTTGCTTGTTTTAGATGATGTATGGACTGAGAATCGCAATCAATGGTGTGCTTTGGTTAAATACTTCATTGGAGGTCAAACGGGAAGTCGAATAGTGGTGACCACACGTTCGCAAAAAACTGCAGCAATTATAGGAGATAGTTCAATGTATAAGCTACAAGGCTTGTCAAAGGAGGATTCATGTTGTTTGTTTGAAAGGACAGCATTTGGATCAAATCAATCAAACCTCCCAGATCATGACTTAGTCGAGATGGGGCGAGAGATTGTTGATTTATGTGCTTGTGTCCCTCTTGCTATAAGAGTGATAGGTAGTCTGTTGTATGGTCAAGACAAGAGTACTTGGAGGTCATATCAGAAGACGGGGTTAGCCAACATCAGGGAGGGTGAAAACGATATTATGCCCATATTGAAGTTGAGTTACCATAATCTTGAATCTCCACTAAAGAGTTGCTTCAGTTATTGCACATTGTTTCCCAAGGATTTTGAGATAGGGAAAGATATGTTGATAAGCCTTTGGATGGCACAAGGCTATATTGTTCCATTAGATAAAAATCAGAGCATTGAAGATGCTGGCGAGGAATATTTTTCGATCTTGCTGAGAAGATGTTTCTTCCAAGACATCAGAATAGACGCATTTAATGACAAAATTACATGTAAGATACACGATCTCATGCATGACATGGCTCAAAGTGTCACTGAAAAGGAGATCTATGCAACAAATACCATTAGTGGCAACCTGGATAAAAAAATTCGCCATCTATCAGTTGCCAGTAGGAGGGAATATGGCAGATATTTCTTCAGTAAGAACCATATTCGTTCCTATCTTCATGTTGACCGAGGTGGTTTATTATTGAGCACGGTGGACCTGTTTTTCCTAGAGCCATTAGTAGCAAATTGTATGTGCCTAAGGGTATTAGACCTAAGTTGGTTAAAGATCAAGAAATTGCCAGGCTCCATCGGTAAATTGTTGCATTTAAGGTATTTTGATCTCTCATATAATGTTGATTTGGAAATGCTTCCTAAGTCAATTACAAAACTATATAATCTCCAAACTTTTTTATTAACCGGGTGTGAGAAATTGAAAGAGTTACCAAAAGATTTGAGCAAATTGGTTAAGCTCAGGGTTTTGGATATAGATGATTGCTACCATCTGACTTATATGCCTCGGGGCTTGGGTAAGTTGAGTTGCCTTCATAGGCTAAGTAACTTTATAGTGGGGGGAAAAGGGAGTAATTCAAGTTGGAAGCAATGGTTTAGCGGGCTGGAAGATCTAAAGGCTCTAGAGAAGCTGAAGGGTGATCTTGAAATCCAAATCAGATGGCCAAAGGATGCTAATAATGCTGTTAAGGAAGACTATAAGAGGGATAGATTATACCTGAGGAGTAAGGAACATCTCAAGGCCATTTACTTTAAGTTCACTGATGAGGAGGGGGGTGGAAGAGTTGATGATGTGATAGCAGGAAGTTTGATGGAAGAACTGCAGCCGCATCCTAATCTGAAATGGTTAGAGGTGCAGGAATACCATGGTGCGAGAATGCCTGATTGGGCAACCCTTCTTCCAAATCTTGTTCAACTTTGTCTTTTTCATTGTGGGGAGTTGGAATACCTGCCATTCCTGGGAAACTTGCGTCATTTGAAAGTCCTCAAACTTTTACGGTTGGATAAGTTGGAGTACATAGAAGTAAATACTCCATTGGCTAATTCCAGCTTCATGCCTGCGCCTCAATTGGTGTGTGCAAAAGGACTATCGTTCTTGCCCTCTCTCAAATTACTATGGTTAAACAATCTGCCAGAGTTTAAAGGTTGGAGGAGAATGGTAGTAGGTTTGGGAAATCAACTTACAGAATTTACTGTTGATAACAGCAACAAGGCACAGTGGCAGTTATTACCGAGTCTTTCGCAATTGAAGTCATTGGAGATAAGAGGGTGCCCAAAGCTGACATGTATGCCTCTGTGTCCTGGGGTGGATAACCTATATATATACAAGTCTAATGATATACTAAATGAGAACTATATACGCAATGGGATGAGAAATTAGAAGATGCTGCTCCATAAATTAGGAGCGTTCCTGTGCACAATTCAGGGTGATTGGCATAAATAATGTGGCATGGCTAAAATTGTTGCCCATGGAGGTGCTTTTCATAGCTGCTCGCTTGGGCGTTTGCATTATACACTCTATACAACCTTAGTAAGTCTTCACATTTATCTGTGGGGAAGTAAATCTGAGCTAGTCCAATACAAATGTATGTACATTGTTTGTCATAACACTAGGTTTACAGAATTACAGGTCTGTAGATAATTGTTACATTAGTACTAGTAGTTGAATAGCTTGTGGATGAACTTTATTGACTACAGGTAAAACAATTATAAACTGTAATCTTATTTAGTTTTTCAAAGTTTTTTTTATTTTTTATTTTTTGTTTGGGGGGGGGGGGATTCAATCTTTTGCTAACAGTAACCATTTTTCGCTTTCTTTGATTTCTGTGATTTAAAAAAAGTGCACAGTTTATGTTTTTGAATTATAATTTTCTTGGTATTTGTTTGTTGACAATTTCTGTAGTGGTAGTAAATTGTCAAATTGCAACCCAAATTTAATAATCAGGGCCTCAGGGAGTTGAAAACTGTGAAATTGAAACTACATCTTATACATAATTAGGATCTTCTGTATGTGCATCTTATATGTCCTCTATACAGAACTAGGTGTAACCGAGAACACCTAAGACAAGTTATAGTATCCATTTTTTGATATTTGGCTGAATATACTAATTTGGCCTGCTAGTAATTAAGAGTCTTGCTTACAAGCAAAAGTAGCAGATATATTTATCTGCAAAAGATGTAGGGAAAAAAGACTTATTCTTAACAAAATAATTTTAGCCTAGTCCTACAGTTTAAAGTACTGTATATTTTAGCTAGATTAAAGAGCTGCCGGGTCTCTAGATTGGAGTAGGGCAGTGAATAGGAATCACTTGAGACTTGGGTTTAAAAAGATGTTTCCCACAAATCAGAGTTAAGTGTATCAAACAAGACAGCCATCAAGTATTAAGTGCTGCTATAGATGACACAATGTAGTGGCTTCTGGCTTGCATTTTCTCGTCTTTCCCTTTCTTTGCAGCAACTTTCTGCATAGCCACAAATGTTGATTTTTTAACAGTGATTGATATAGCTTAAGTTTCCAAGTGTAGTGCTGATTTCCATTTTTGGAGACAGACTATGATTCTAAATTTGTTTGGTTTCTTGCTGTTAAATTACCTGTTGCAGTAAGCCAGTAACATACACTTGAAGAAGCTACCATCTTGTAACATGCTCTCAACCTTTACCTGAGTGACTTACTCTTTCCTACTCTTATATCTTTGTGACCTCTTTTTGGTTGAAACCTTGAAAAAGTTGGAGTATGTAGCATGTAGTGATGAAATTTCAGAATTTTTTGGCATGCAGCTAAATTTCAAACAGGGACCTGGAATGTCAAACTTGTTATAAATCTAGGAAGATCTCTAGATTAATGCAGTTATAAAGATTTAACTAGTACATAATTGAAGCATTCCTGATATTGATTATACTACATTTCATTACTTTTTTTTAACTATTTCTGTCCATAATTGAAGTATATGGATTTGCATGAGGATGAAGCAATGGATCGTAAGGGATGGAGGAGGAAGATTATGTCGATGATTACATGGAATAATCAAATTTGGTTCATGTAGCCGACCCCACTTATGGGATTAAGGCTTTGATTGATTGATTTTATGAATTAATTGTTAAGCCTGCACTTAGTAATGTTTCCATTACTATCTGTATTCAGAGGAGGCACTTGAACTTACATTTTGTTTACTTCTTATTATTATGCAGCGTTGCAGGGTTTGGTGCGTTTTTTTTGCCCAATCTAATATTCTAATGTGGTGGACATGTAATTTCATATGATGGCATTGCTTCTACGCTTCTACCTTTTCAACTGCATATCATGGTATGTGCCTCCTTGGGATCAATTGGCTGTGGAAAGCTAGTAAAAGGTGTTTTTTTTTTTATATATTTTTTAGATACTTTCTAAATTTATCTTCGTATTTAATTTTAGTTTTTAGCCGACTACTGTTTTATGAACTGTTTGTTTTCTTTGGCTAAAGTTTTCTCAAATGTTAAGTTTTTTTTTTACTCCAATATTTTAACCACTCATTTAAAACATTCTTGAATTTTATTGTCGGTTCTCTTTTAAAGTTTTAAAACACCTTTAATTTTCTTAAATGCTCTTTCATTTGCTCACTTTACTCACCTTTTTTTTGAACTCTTTCTAATGATTATTTTGTTATGTCCTTTTCTTTTTATCGAACGATTCCTTATGACGATTCATGTTAGCCGACCCTAAATCATTTTGGGGCTAAGACGACGTTGTAATCAAACCATATACTTATCTTTTGCTTCTAATATGATGGCATTGCTGATATGATTTGGCTAAATTTTGGTAACTTTCTTGGCATTGCTTATCTCTGTGTGTTTGTGTGTGCGCCGTGCGCGGGTTTTAATTGTACATGAAATTTCGCCGTGGCGGGTTTTAATTGTACATGAAATTTCTGGTGTGTGTGGGTTTTAATTGTATAGAAAATTTCTGGTAACAATTTTTTCCAATACTAATTGGATGGTTTATTTTGGTCAGGACATGAGAGACCGAAAACTGCTTAACAATTGAAGCTGCATGATGAGTAAATGGAGTCTATTTAAATTTCAGATTTATGAATATTGAGACCAGAATTCGTACTGATGATTATAAATCATCAATGAGCTCAATTACCTTTCACAGGGCAAATATGTGTTGTGATCACAGAGCTTTGTGAGGGATCGTGATCAAGAAATGAAGATGCATGAGGAGTACATGGAGTCATGGAGTATATCAACACTCCGGATTCATGAATTGGAACACTGACAATTGTGAGCAGAATTGGTATTGAGGGCTCTAATTCATCAATGAGCTCAATTACCTTTCACAGATCAAATATGTGTTTTACGTTTATACGGAGTATGTTTTAATGAGATGATGTTATGACAAGTAGTTTAGTTGGCAATTTTTTTTTTTTTTTTTTTTTTTTTTTTTTGGTTTGGGAAGGACCCTACTGTACTGGAATCTCTCACAAATCCATCCTGCCTGGGTTATCGAGTTAGACCCTTTGGAAGGATGGGGAAGGGTAAGAGAATCCCCACCTCAAAATACCTCTAGTAGGGTTCAATCCGAAAACCTTATGGTTGTGATTCAAACTTTCCCATTAGACCAAATCTTGCTTGGTAGTTTGTTAGCTAGTTAACCGGTCACATTTTATACATAAAGGTGATATTGTCATACTATTGCATAACCTTAAACATGTAAAAATCAGTAACAAATTATGTGTGTATATTTGGTCATCTACTACTAAGAAATTTCGGGGTGAAAATCATACTCTACCTCTAATAGCTACCTATTTCTTCCGTGTTTTAATAAGTGTTACACTGTGATGGGTACATAATTTTAGGCAATTTAATTGACTTAAATAAAATAAGAGGTAAGTAGGGTAGTTGGAGTATTAAAAATCGTAAAAGAAAGATAATGATTTTTTTTCCGAAAAAATAGAGAATCAATATCTAAACCCGCTTTCTAACTCATTAGCCACTCAATCCAACCCGATCCATCCATAGCCCCAGGCAACCCATAAACTAACCCGAGTCACTCCGGTGCCAATACTCTCCAATCCCAGCCTATAACGGCCCCGGTGACCACCTCTAATTACAATTACAATACACGGTCGTAACAAACTAACAAGTCCAAAAAAATTTTCCTCCTTAAGGAAACTTCCTAAGATTGACAAAATAAAGCTCGACGCTTTCAAATTTACAAATTTATTCTCTCTCCTTTCGTCTTCTTCCCTGAAACTAATCAAGCTCAGCAATGGCGAACGACAATGAACCCGCGAAGCTGCTACTACCCTATCTTCAACGCGCCGATGAACTCCAAAAGCACGAACCTCTCGTCGCTTATTACTGTAATTTTCAATTTCCTTTTTCTTTATCTCTTAATCACCTTAATTAATTTCATTGTTATTGGAGAACCCTAATTTTTTCGCTTAATTGTATGAAATTTTATCATTTTTGTGTTGATTTTGGGGAATTTGATTGATAGGTCGATTGTATGCGATGGAACGAGGGTTGAAGATTCCTCAAAGCGAGCGTACTAAGACTACTAGCTCCCTCCTTGTTTCGCTCATGAAACAGCTTGAAAAGGTGCAGAATTTTCTCGATCTTGATATTTTTGTTCATCTTTTTGATCAGTTTTGCAATTTGTGATTGTTAGTGTTGAGTAATTTTGGTTGATCATGTTGCTGGAATTGATGAAAACTAGGTTATGAATGTATAAAATTCTAGGGGGAATTAATGTATTTCTGTTAGATAATTTCCACTCATTTTTGTGATATTTATGGCTGGTTGGCCTTTTTCCAAGTTGAAGGTATAGTTGAGAGATATGAGACGGCTTATTTGAAATTTTGGGGCTTTGTTGTTTGACACTATATTGTAAGATTGTGAATTTGGATATGATTTTGGATCATAAGCAATAGCACGAGGCCCTTACAATAATAACGCTCAGCTATGTAGCAAGGAACTGGCTTGGGTTTCAGCAACGGGCAATCTTCAGGCTTATCTATTTTCGGCCTTGTTAGAATGGGTATAGTGTGGTTTCAGAAACAATTATGGGTTTTGGAAGTGGATAAAGCTCATGTTCCAGGAGTTTCTGCGCCTTCTAGCTGCTCGGTTTGGGTTGCTTCATAGTTGCATCATGTTAGTGGTGTGCACACAACCTCCAAAAACATGCCTAGATACGTCAAAATATACGTCAAATATAGTTGCATCAAAGAATAAATTTCATTCTAATATAAGTCATAATATGCTTAGATACGTTCTTAAATCATTTTGATTTGTTTTTAATCAAAATATAACTAAATGAAATTACAAATCTAGAATAGCTTAGATGTTTGAAAAGGAAAGAAAAATGTTTCCATAGTGATTGATTGTGTTCTTTTTGCAAGAATCTCATCTTACCATTACTCAGTTTGATGCTGGCTTGCGCTGATATGCATGCATATTTTTCAGGATAAGAAGTCGTTGAAGTTGGCACCTGATGACCACTTGCACTTAGAAGGTTTTGCCCTAAACGTATTCTCGAAGGCTGACAAGCAAGATAGAGCTGGGCGAGCTGACATGTATGATTATATGTATTTTGATTTCAGTTTGATGGTTTTCTGATGTCTTCTTGTGGTCCTCGTCTTCTTGTTAACCTTTTAAAGAGTTTGTGTTCATTTTTTTTATAATTATTTATTAATATTCATGGTTTGAGGTTTCACCCTGGAAAGTCTAATCTACTCCCATGCTTTAGGTCCGCTGTTGTGGTTTCTGTATTGCATTTTTGTTATTCTATAACTTGGTATTATATTAGGCTTATCCCCAGTTCCCAACTTTTAAAACAATCAACTTATAATCTAAGCTACTTACACTTAAGTTATAGTGCAAGTAATATCAATTTATGATGCATGCTTACAGTTTGGTCTAATAGAGCAATATTTATATGTGCTTATTGTGTATTATAAACATTTAATCGATTGAAATATGAGACATGCTGCCTTGTAATATGCTCAAGGATGCTCATGTTGCATCAAGTGAATTTAGGGTTTTAAATCTTGATTTAGATCATGACCCCAATAATGCAGTAATGGTCATAGATCATAGAATATACTTCTATGCAGGTGTCATTTAAAGGGTTTGTGGCTGACAAAGCATAACTTTCATATTAGTTAATTGGTTGTTTATTTTGTTTATCAACCTGTATGTCAGCCATATTGGTTCTGTGTAAGCTGCATCTGCTGATATTTTGTTTCTTGGGCTATATTAGTTCAGTTAGCTGAGAAATAATTTGTATTGCCAAGATGTTGCATATCAGCTTAGATTCAAAACCATGAGCTATGCATAATAGCTTATGCTTTCTAAAGGTTTCATATTTGGGACTGTTCATTTTAAAACTTTTGGAAAAGAGAGCAGAAGAGAGCACATCAATACTGAAGAATACTTCGTCTACTTTGAGTAGCTTGGAAGAATGAAAGACACTAATTTGTTATAGAATAGTTGGAAGTGTGGAACATGGATGATTTAGGCAGTGTTAGAATTAGAAGAGTGATCTCTTTGGAAAAGACAAGGCATGACGTTATGGCTAATTGACAAAGTAGATGTACCATGGGATAGCTTGTTTAGAGTGAAATTGGAGCCTTGGAGGAATTGGTCCTTAGGAAAGAAGAGCAGAGCCGAATTTTGAAATGAATTTGGGCTAGATAGGGATAGGGGTAGAAATCATAGTAGTTCTCCAAGTATGAATATGAAAAGGAGGACCCTTCAGAGTTTGTTAAAGAAATTAAATTGAGTATGGTGGACTGTTTAGAGCTGAAGAGGCTATTCTAGAGGAGATCCATTGTACGGAAAGGAATGGATATTTGATATTGTGGACTTTTAAAAGAGTTGGAGCACTATTTATGGTGCTGTTAGTGCTTGGCTTGAAAGACATTTACAGACTACAAGACCATGTGTTGTATTTAGCATACAAGACTCGTAGTTTGCAAAGGCATTTTTATTGATGGTTGTATGTCGATTTATGCCCCCTCGATCTGCAACCTTTGTTTCTAAAATTTCCTTTTACTGTCTTCCGCATATTCCACACTCAGCTTATATACCTTAGGAGGCTTAACATAACTCAGAGATCATCAAGGTGGTTTCTCATTTTTGCCCTTATCTGCATGCCTAACATATGTATAGCAGATCCGTGGTTGCTTGGGTTAATGCATTACAAGGTTCAGATTGTCTTTTGACTTTGTGCTGTGGATGTTTGTTACTGGTCTTTTGAGTTGCATCAGGTCCTCAGCATGCATGACTTGATCCCCACAACTGTACCTTTACTCTGTCCTCTTTGAAGGCTTGAATTCATCCTGGCCACACTTTCTTGAGACGTGATGTAAAATATTGATGATGGGTTTTCAAAATTGTAGTTTACATTCAACCCAAATCAGAGGCCTGAGTCATAACTAAGATACCAAGTCGGAAGGCTGGTGAAAACCTTTAAAATAAAATCATAAAGAATTTGTCTAGCTTCAAGTAACTCCCAAGGTCTCTTGTGCTCCATCTTGGCCATCAGGTCCCCATCCATGAAGTGGATGGGGTTTTTGGTTTTAATAGGGGATATGGGGGAGGTAAATTTTTGTTGACATCCTACTTTTTGCTTTTGGTGCTGGTGAACTGCCATCTTCGGTGGTGGCCTGAGATTTGAAGAGTAGAATTTCAATTAGGTGCTTTTGTCGAGAGTTTTGTGGCATGGGAAACCTCCCAGGGCATCTGTTTTGATTGTTTTACAAAGTCACAAACTGACTGATTTTACTAATGACTAGCCCCTTAATGAATGAATAAGTTCAAGACTCCTTTTAAGTTGTAAAGCAAGGAAAAAACATACTATTATAGAAAGGAATGTTAATTGCAGATGCCATATGATGAACAAGAGAGTATAATTTAAATTCAACAGTAGATTAAATGAATTGGATGAACAGCGCTTAACTTTCTTGGATTTATTTTGGGACCTAAATGTGGTTTAA